AAGGTCAAAAGTATTCTACCACTGTCTTATAATAAAATGATACGAAGGTACCTAATCTTACAAAGTTCACTACCCGCTTTTAAACACTTAAAATATAGTCACAATCATTTTAATCTGGGTAACATTATATAAGTGTATATCTACTGGAAACTGGATTTAAATATCACGAAATTTATTTAAGTTACGCATCGCATCATTCAAACGGGTGTCATCGTTCCGCGCGGTTGTGAAGCGCGTGCGCACTTCGAGCCGGTTTTATAAACATCTACATAGATAGAATGGGTGGTAACTATTCAGCCATGGACCCAATGGAGGTGCCTGTCCCGGAGTTAGCCAAATTACTCGAAAGGGACGGCTATTTGAAACCTTACGAGAGAGAAATCAGACGCAGGTAACTTTCCTTTACATTTTGATAGTGAATTATAATTACTCGTGCTACGTAACCGGTTAAAACAAAGTTAAAGCGATTGCGTTGAGGTTAACTCGCTGTTTACGGAGCGTTGGCAATCAAGCGCTGAAGCGCTTAAATTTTCAGGCTAATGCTGTCGATAAAATTATCAACTGACTAACAAAATTGTGCCTTGCTTCTAAAGCGGAATTTAATGTCAAATATTACTGTAATTGGACAATGTAATTATTATATAAAGGTAGTGCGTTAGAAATTATCTGTATTATAAAAAACTTAAATCTTTAAGTGTAGGTAATTTACAATGCAGTGGCGAGTAACTTCTTGTTAACTTGTGCAGCGCTTTGAAGCGCTTTGCTTTCAAAGACCTTTTCAATGTCAAATGAAAGGTCATTGTAGCGAAACTCTAAAAAAAAGTTTAAAAACAATGTTCACGCTGTGTGCACGACGACAACATGTAACAAAACACGCTAGTTACATTCAACTTGTATGAAAGTAAAATATTGTAAAACCATTGACATACCAACAAAAATTTTATTTTGTACTACATAATATAGGTAGGTATGGAATTTTACGTACCTACCAGTATGCCGCCTAATTCTGATAAGCAGCTTCTAAGGCAGTTTAACAATAGCAATTTAAATATTCACCTACCTTCCACGTAACAGTTTTGTGCTTAACTCTATTTATCTACCTATTTATCGTCATCCAAATCGATATAATAGGTGTTAGATTACAATTGAGGTCAGTTTTTACAATAGTAATATAAAAAAGATTAGTAGTAGGTACCATTTAAATAAGGAAATCTAAAATAAAAATGCAGGTAAATCAGTAAATTAAAATAGGTAGTGTTCCTTGCGCAGAACCCAGATCTAGATATTATTATATGGCAGAACCTCAGTACTGCCGTTATAAGTATTTCTAGCGCTTTTAGTTGTACAGTTAGTAGTAAGTAAAGGCCCATTTAGATGGAGAGAGTTTCTCGTCTCGACGATGCGATTATCGAAAGAATATAAAAAAACTTGCCTCGTTTAAACATTCGCGATTATCGACCGTCCACGTGAGCGATAATCGCCTCGCCTTTCAATATTGAACGTCTCCGTGTAAACAGAACTCGAAAGCAAAAATCGTACTTCGAGTTTCTGTGCCAGCCGTTTCTACCACGAGTGCAGTGCGCGAGGGTGTTTTGATTATCACTGCTTTTCTAAGACAAGAATTAATGAAACGAGAACGAAAAAAATTTTGGATTAAGAAATGTTTAAAATTTAAAAAACATAAATAAAAAAATGTATATTTCTCTGCAATGCAATGAACTTAATATTATCAAAGTTCCAAATTTGAATGATTTTTGCGTCATTTCGATATGTCCATAGTCAATACCGCAGTAATCACTGAACTCGAATGGCGATTCTCGCACTCAAAACGATTCGAACCGATTTGTACGATAATCGTATGAACTTGAAAAAATGTCATACGAGATCGTGTTTCGACAAGTCGAAAACTCGTAAGCAAGAATCTCCTTACTACATATTTCTCTGTGTAAACAGTCGAGGAGGCGATTAAGTTGCTTAGGAATCTCGTATGACATAATCGTAGGCGAGATTTTAGTTCTTGCCTGAATGTAAACATTATTATGATTATATTATATTATGATACGATAATCTTATGGCGATTATTGCTTACGATAATCGCCTACGAGTTTTCGTCACGAAGCGTGCGAGAAACTCTCTCCATCTAAATGGGCCTTTACACGGACAACAAATGACTTGTAGCCACAGATGTCTGTGCTTGTAGCTGTATGTGGATTTAGAAAACTTCATCTTCGGAGCCTTTTGTTAATGATTTTTCTCACTTTTCTTTCGTGATTAGAAAATTTACTACTAGGTGCACGGCTACATATATAACGTAATTTATTCCACAAGGTATGGCTGCTTTAAAGACATATGGGACAGAATGGAGTCTTGGGAAGGAGGGATAGATGCTTTTACACAAGGGTACAAATACTTCGGACCACAGTACCACTCTGACGGAGGCGTCACGTGGCGCGAATGGGCTCCCGGCGCACATTCTATGCATCTACAAGGAGAGTTTAGTAAGTTCTGACCTTGTACCTGGTATATACTAAAACTTCATCTCCATCAACCGGGCAATTGTAAACGCGCTGTATTGATTGGGAGTTTCGCGTTTCAGTTTTGTATGTATTTTATACAATTTTATTTTTATATATAGATATATTTCCAGCACCTTCTGCAGCCTAAAAGGCAACAAATGCCCATCGTTATCCAATTCCAAGCAGTCTTTTTAAAGTGCGTTCCCATTACGTCGTATAATGGGAACGCGCCCTTATTGCCGCTATCGTGCTAGAAACTCCCGATTGACATTTTTTGTTTTTACCTCTAACAAGAAACAAAATGTTAATTTATTCATATCGAGTTCTTAAGTTATCACGATTGTTACAGATTGGAAATAGAACTATTTTATACGGATCTAGATCACGATTATTGTTTTTTCAACGTTTCTGGTCCGTCACAGGGGTCTACTCTCGATCTCCGTCTGACATCCGTCCGAAACAATTACTGCCAAATAAGCAATACTTGACCAAATGAAAAGACGCGTGATGCGAATGAAGCTTCATACTGGATAGGTACTTGTCTTTTAATTTTGTCGTATATTACTTATTTGACAGTAATTGTTTCGGACGGAGATCGAGAGTAGACCCCCAGGTTTCATTGTCACATTAGTTTGTATGAAAAAACAATATACCTAGGTAACGGTATTTAGATCCAAAACAATAGTTAAGTGTTAAAATATTATTTTATTAATTAAATTGGACCTTAACTATCTAAACTACATTATCATTTGTTCTAAATAGTTTCCAAGTTTCCTGTAATAACCGATACATTCCGTTCAGTACCTACATGAATTAAAGCGCAATCAAAAAAATATTTAAATTTCAGATGGCTGGAATTCCAGAAGCCATGCATTCAAGAAGCTAGAGTTCGGCAAATGGGAGCTGTACATAGCTCCTAATCCAGACGGAAGCTGTCCTCTCAAACACCAGAGCAGAGTGCAGATCATCGTCAACGAGCACCTGTATCGAGTATCTCCTTGGGCCAGTTATGTGAAACCTTTCGAAGGATTTACTTATCAGCAATTCATTTACAGGCCAGAAGAGGTAATATTTAACTTTGGGTTATTCTAATCACAAATCACATAGAGTTGATGTTAAATCTTAGAATCTGTAGATACGCTGCAGTGGCGCCACTGCAGCGCTTTGCATCGTCTAATTTGAAGGCGCCTTTAATATACACTCATTAATATACGGTGTGAAATCACGATTGTTAAACATTTTCACGATAAAAAAAAACACAAACTTACTTCGAAATGATACAAGAAAACTGCTGTGTTCTATAGGTACTTTACCCTTAGAATAATAAAGCATAGAAACCTAGTCCGCACACGCTATTTGAGGCAAATTGAAGCGCTCCCAAAGGGCCTACACGAGCGGGCGGGCCGTCAGTGCTCAAGGTCAAATTGCACCGCGAACAGCTCAAGAATTTTACCTAAAATGACGAAATATGCGGTAAATGAGTGTAAAAATACGTCAGACAAACATAAAATAGATACTAACATCACATTCCACAAGGAAGTAACGCGTTTCAACTTGTATTTTTATATAAATATTCACTAAAACCGTAAATTAACCTACTACTAAAACTAGCCTACATGAATTTGATTTTTGCCTCACTTGTGACAGTTCGTTTGATATGAAACTATCATTCTATGCGTTATTATTCTAAGACTTTACCAATGATTTTTTTATATCAACTGAACTAAATGGAACACATATAGTAACACGACATAGATTCAAATGGCTTTAATTTAGTATGTAAAAGAATGAATTATGAAATAAAGCCAGCAGTCCCTGCCGCTCGACCCGCGCAATAGAACCAATTCAGTAGAGGAAAAAATTGAATTCGAGCTGATGTAGTATTAACTCTTAAGTGTTAGTGAGCTTGACATATCTTGACTTTGTCTCACTTTCAATTATTTCGTTAATAATTCTATTTTTATAATAGTTAAATCTGTTTTTTTTTTGCTCTTAAAATCAACAAGCACGAAATAAATTTGGTTACGACACCACTACAAATCTGCAGCAAAAGAATTTGATTGAAAATAGCATTGTAAAATATTTATACAAATTTCTTAAGAAAATGTCATTTACAAAATAGAACAACTTCACTTCAGACCTTTTCATACTGAAATCTAGCATTAGTAGCAGTAGAGCTCCTTGTGAAAGAGTTCGTCCAGCAAAGTACTGCCGCCTTGTCTATTTCTACGCACTAATGTCAGCATTACTGTGTTCCGGTTTTGAAGGGTAAGGGTGAAATTACAGGCACATGGGGACTTGTCAACTTACGTCTCAGGGTGGCGGGCACAGTGGCAGTGCCCCTCAAATCTTTGCGATTTAAAGTCCTGAATGGTACTGCAAATGTTATAGACAGGCGTGTAGCTTACTATCTGGCGCACGACTTCTTCGTTACGTCACTTGATATTATAAAAGTAACAATAACAAAACTTCTCTATACAAAATTTTAATTAAACGTAATAGGTAATTATTTCATTGTGTTGTGTTGTAGTGTGCCCATGTACAGTCTCATAAAAATCCCATTAAATACATACCTACATAACGGTACAATCTTTCAAGTCATTGGTTTATGTATGAAAGGTGCGTGAGTTTTTTAATTAGCTCAAGCCATTTTATTTTATATTTGATATTTCGTAACGAGAAAAGTTCGATAACTATCTTCTCCAAAGCGGAGTGTGATAGAGCTAAAATGTGGCTGACATTCATAAACCTATTATTAGTATTTTGTTTTTTTAACATCATCGCCGAAAATCTAAAATGAAAAATCCATATTACAGGCATACCAATTCAAACATCCAAAAGTGAATCGCCCTGCATCTTTACGTATCTACGAGAGTCATGTCGGAATCGCAACATCTGAGGGTAGAGTCGGCACGTACGACGAATTCAGGGAAAATATTCTTCCGAGAATTAAAAAACAAGGTAAGAACGTGAGTGAATAGATTTGCTCGTTTTTTTACGATCGACTCGTGTCGATCTACAAAAAATACGATATCGATCGTCTAGCGCTTACACATTTAGATCTGTGTGTTCGCAATCGAACGCAAATTAATTAATAACTAGGTATATAAAGAAACAGGTATAAGTAGTAATTTAATTTGACTCGATTTTTTGTTATAAATTTTCAGGTTACAATGCTATTCAACTTATGGCCATCATGGAGCACGCATATTATGCATCTTTCGGGTACCAAGTCACAAGTTTCTTTGCAGCTAGCAGGTGATTTTTAGATTAAATATATAGAAACATATAGCTAGAAATAGAGCAGTTCATACTTGTAAATATTGACAAAACTAAGTATCATTTAGTTACTTTATTCTAATCAGTAAGGGCGCGTTCCCATCATGTCGTGACGACAGATAGTCGTGCAGTTTAAAGTGTCGTGGCGTGTATATTTAAATGAAGTTGTTGACATATAGTACAACACGATTAATTGTCGTCCACGACTTTTTTGTCGTTACGACGACATACTGTCGTGGCAATGGGAAGAGCTAGAGCGACAGTCATCTCACTATAAATAAAACGTCACGATAAAAATGTTACGACAGACAATCGCAACTACAAACGAATCTGTCGTGCAAACGACAAGGCGCCTTGAACCGATAAATTGTCGTCACAATCTAGTGGGAACAGCTAGACATGACAGTGGTTCAACGATAAAATGTACGTCCACGACACAGTCACGACAGATTGTAGTGATATGGGACCGGACTACACGCGACTGTCGTCCAATGATAAATTAAAAGTTACGACATAATGGAAAGCGCCCTTAGGTTAAAGTTTAGAGATTCCATGATATCATCGAGTCTGTCCCTCATAAACGTGCAATACTTGAAGCCTAGAAGGTATTATAAAAAGTTTTCCATGGGAATTCTGCTTAAGGCTCTTATGAGACGGACTATTTGCGCGCAGTCGAAATTTAAAATGCATGCAGTCGATACTCACTGCACGCAGTTGAAGCCACAAGCTCCCGTGCTAGAGCTCAATATATTCGTATAGTTAGTTATTTGGATAGGTAGTTAAGTGACTTTGCTAGGAATGAGCGTTGATATCCCAACGGCTATGACATGAAATAGATAATTGTAAATAGTTGTTTAACTTAAAAGTATATTTTTTCTTAAAGTAAATAATTATTATTTCCATAATAATTATTTCTTATTTTATTCGTATAATATAAATTCTGAAAAATAGATAAAAAGTTTATTGCATTTACAAGTATTAATAATAGGTGGCGTGGCTACAAACAACCCTCCATAGCAACACCACCGTAACTGTTTTTTTCTTTTAAAAATTAAAACCTATAATTTATTAAAAAGGTATAATCTGTCTACTGAGTGAATCAGTGGCTTAGAGGATGGAAAAAATAAAAGAAATCAGTGGAGTCGATCCAACACTATACGTCAGTTTTTTTTCGTTAAAAAATTAAGTGCACATTTAACCTTCATCTCACCTGATGGAAATTGACAATGAGATCGACGATACAGCATGCACACTTAAATAATGTCTATTCACACTCTCCTTGAAAAGTCTGCCATATAAATGTGAAAATGAAACTCTTCATGCGAATCAAAATAGGGGTGGAACCCTAGCCTACGTCTAGTCCCCCCTGTGATTAAAGGCGGAATTAAATCGTGTAATTCCCTCGTTTATATCTCTACTAATTCAAACTCCGATTAATAGCTGAAATTGGTAATGAATCTTCTTCTTTTAGTCGTTACGGCACTCCTTGTGAACTGAAAAGGCTAATCGACAGAGCGCATGAACTTGGCCTTTACGTATTACTCGATGTGGTACACTCACACGCCTCCAAGAACACCCTAGATGGTCTCAATGAGTTTGATGGCACTAATTCCTGCTACTTCCACGACGGACCTCGTGGAACTCACAGTTTGTGGGACAGCCGGCTTTTCAATTATTCTGAGTAAGTATCCGGCTTCAAGGACGCGCTTTTTAACTCCCAACGCAAAAGAGGACTGATCCTAAAGCGGTTTCTTTCATTTAAAGACGAATTTAATCCAAAAGATTCTTAGCCATGTTTGATGATCGTTCAGCGGTTTTTCCATTTAATGTACAGATCTCGGACATAAAATGAATATTTATTTTACTTCCATTTATCCCATTTTGACTTGAAATTTAATATACTATTGAAATTCGATATTACAATAATTTGGTAATGCTATAACCAGGATCATGACAGTCTGCAGACTACCCAACTTCTCAAGTAGTAATAATGATAATAGTAATAATATAAATCGTTTATTTTTCTCGCAATAAATACAAGATGTAGGTAATACAATAGAAGTGAAAGTTTGGAAGACAGGATCCCAAACTAGGTGATACCTGTGCTATGGGGTGAGGGATGGCAAAATGAAGAAAAGTTAAATCAGTTGACTAAAAATACGAAATGCGCGCGTGCGTGTGTGCTTGCGTGCGTGCGTGCGTGCTTGCGTGCGTGCGTGCGTGCGAGCGGTTGTGTGCGTGTGAGAGAAAGAGAGTGTGTGTGCAGTGATAAAGTAGGAAGTGAGTAACTAAACGCAACATTTCCAAAGATTTACGTAGTAGGCGACATCAGAAGCGATCCTCAGTCCTGTCGTAGTTGACTGTCTGAAGTCATCCAGAAACAACCCTTTTGCATTCCTATCTTGTGTGGTAAATATGAACAATTTATTAGCCTTATTGTACAATGTACCACCTTGATACATGTAGAATTTTGTAATGAAAAGAGTTCTGCTACAGCAGAAAGCACGGAAAGCTTTTATCTACAATATTTGCAGCACAAGAATCATATTTTTTTCTGTTTCACCATTTCAGAACTGAAGTTTTGAGGTTCCTGTTGTCAAATCTCAGATGGTATCAAGAAGAATATCAGTTTGACGGATTCAGGTAACATCGACGAAAATCTATTGCATGTATCATTTTGTTATTTTTATAAAGCTCGAGCAAACACAAATAAAAATTCCCTCAATCCAACTGGACTCGAACTAGTGTCTGTTGCCTCACCGTCTCTACCGCTGTTAACCAACTGAGGTTACAGATCGAGTCAGCAAACCTTACAAGTATCTCTGTGCTTACTACATTTGTATTGCCGTAGCACCATCAGTGATAAACTTACGAAAGTTTCTTCACTCAACCAGGAGGTGTACCACGAAATACGAAGCAATGACCATCGTTTTAACTTGGTATCGAAACGGTGATTTCGATACGAAAGATTTGACATAAAGGTAGATTCACAATACAGAAATGAGGCACAATAGAATTGCGGCAATTTGTGAATCCACCTTAAGTCCTTAATCCGGAATGTCAAAAGGCAGCTTTCGTATCGAATTGACATTACTTTCATCGTAAAACTGACATGTGTAGTACGTATGAGCTTCGTTGTGGACGCAGTCACGTAGTATCGTTCTTCTTGTTCTCAGTCCGATATTTGTCCGAAACAATTAATGTCTAATTAGTAATACTCGACCTAATCAGAAGATAGTGTCGGGTATGAAGTTTCATTCGCATTATTTTGGTCGAGTATTACTTATTTGACGTAATTGTTTCGGACCTGACGGAGAACAGAACTAGACCCGCTGATACCAGAATACTGACAGAGATGTCGCTATATTTATTGCAATGTTTATTTCATTGAATACCATGATGATTTTACTACTATAATATTCATTTTTTTTTTGTGAAAATAACTATATTTTATACTTTGTTGTTATTACTTTCTACCTTTGTTTCAGATTTGACGGTGTAACGTCTATGTTGTACCACAGTCGCGGTATAGGCGAAGGTTTTTCGGGTCACTACGATGAATACTACGGCCTTAACGTAGACACAGAGGCCTTGGTCTACCTTATGCTTGCCAATGAACTCATTCACAAATTTGATAAGAAGGCCATTACTATCGCTGAGGTAACACCAAAATGATATTATTATCACACCAAATTTATACAGGGTTATTTATAAAACACTAATTTCGCTTGACTATATTAAAACATCATAAACTACAACTTTTGTTGCATGACTTAATAATTCATCACTTTCGACTTTCGGAAAAAATAACACTATTTAAACAGATCGCTCTAAACATGATAACTCTGCGTAAAACGCCGGAGCGCGAGTGGGGGTGGTCGGGGCCGACACTTACACGTTTGAACTTACTACCTTACTACCAAATATAGATCGAAAAAGTGTCAGATAGTACAAAAAAATACTTCAAAATTCATTTTCGGTAATTATGTTTTGTAAAAAGACATGGAACAAAAGTTGTTGCTTATGATATTAATAATATAGTTCTGCGAGGTTGTTATTAATTTACAAATAACACTACCAACTTATGCTTTCTATTACAATAGAGTAATAAAACCATTAACACTTATTTTACTTAAAACGTACATGGACTTAGTGACCTTGGTCTGCATGGGTGCGTTATATGCTTTTTCTGAAATCTAGTTTTGAATTATTTATTTACTCGTCAGATTTTTTTTTTCATTAAGGTACATCGTAAAATAGCGACAGCCGACTCTTTTCTTACTAATTTAACAAAGTTAGTTCCGCATATAGATTTGGAATTAAGTGCCAATGCGTAATTGTTTAAGCTAGTTGTTTGCACTCTAAAGATGAAGCGATAAGACGAATCGGCGCAAATAATATTTCGCCAACTACAACCGTTGATATGGGGGTAAGGTACTACGATTTCAGAAAATTTCTTGACGAATGTTTTTTGTACAGATTTACAAATAAATTAAATTGGCATAGAGAGTTAAAAAAATACAGTCAATTCGGATAACTTTGAACATTTTTTGCGTTTTTCTAATAATTTCAAATTTAATTATGTTTCTTAACAATTACTTTATTAACTGAATAGTGTTCTTTTAAGCCTTTTTTTTCGTTTTTATACAAGGAATTTAGTAATTATTCAACAAAACTGGTCTAGATTTGCTCCAAAAGTCACATTCAAAGTTGCCTTGAATTTTGGGTAACTTTGAATAAGATTATCCTTCGATATGGAAACCGTATATTTTCTAGATATTTTACAGTTTGTGTAAGATTATACGACATATTCATATTTTTTAGATGTGAATCTGTCCAAATATTCCTGACAGTGCGTTCAAAAACTACATTTGACTTGGTATTGCCATAATAAAACGAGACGAACTAATTTAGTTGAAATGAAAAACTTGTTTTTTTTTAGATTTTTTCATTAATGCGAATAAAAATGAAAATTTTCTGTTTAATAATAAATTCTACGCTTATTTAGCTATCAAACGAGATCAAAATGAATCACCTATAACAATTATTTTAGGCAAAGTAAATACATAACAAAAATCTATTCACCCCCACTCCTTGAATAAAATGTCGTCATCCATATAAATACGGCCGCCTTTTCTAGATAGCTGTTGCTCTTTTATAATATTCACAATATCGGCTTTATTAACTTGACATGTCTCAACGTTAGAGGGCCAAGACCAACCTCCTAAAAAGCATTTTTGGAGCACTGAGACAGTAATTTCCAAAGGAGTAACTTTTAGAACTCTCCCTGGAAACAGACTACCCTCTTCTCTAAAAACACAGTCAAACACATTCAAAGTTACCCAAATTTCTCTGTTTGGTAACGTCGTCAAAATCTAATTCGTTTTACGCGTAAATACAAAACCAAATTAAATTATTCTTTAAAAAAGCGATATATAAACCTCTATTTAAGTGTGGAAACCAAAACTTACCAGTCAATATTCAGAATTATATATTTAATTCCGATTCTAAAACTGAGCAACAAATCACACCAAACTACTTTCGCCAAGAAAAAACCGCGAAAGTTTAAAAAAATACAATTTAACATTAATTTTTTCTTTCATAACTTTCGTTTAACAATTTTGTTCCGATTTAAACAGTTTCAATACTAAAAATAAAAGATCGCCATACATAAAATAAATTTTTAAATCTTTTACGCAACTACGTTCAAAGTTACACCACGATTCAAAGTTACCCGAATTGACTGTACTAAATAGTATAATAAAGAAATCTTGTTCTGTTAAATATCTACTCATAATAATAATGCCAAACAACTACAGCAATTACTGGTCTAAAACTAAGGAATGTAGGCTACATCCTCTAGCACTATAAGTACCAGAGCAAAGGAATTCACTTCAAGGCACAACCTAGAACCAATTAGTAGTAGCAGTAGAGCTCCTTGTGAAAGAATCCAGGGAAGTACTGCCACCTTACCTATTTCTGCCGCCAAGCGGTAATGTGAGCATTACTGGGTTACGGTTTTGAAGGGTACGTGTGCTGGTGAAATCGCAGGTACATGGGACTTGTCAACTTATGTGTCAGGGTGACAAGCGCAATGGCAGTGTCCCTCAGATCTTTGCAATTTAATCTGCATTTCCAAATTGGTTCTACCGGGAATCGAACCAAGGACCTCCTCAAGCGTCCACGGTACAAACCGTTAGACCACCGAAGTAGAAGTAGAAATCTGTTTACTCTTGGAACAATATATCATGTCGTATTTCTCTTAGGATGTATCTGGT